TATTTTTGATTGAAATTCACAAATAAACTGCATCTCTACCTTAAATGTACTGTGAAATGGACTATGGTACATGTACTACTTAGTGTTGTGGGAAAGACCATGTGTACTTCTGTTTAGCCTTTTCACCACCAAACTTTATCACCCAAATTTTTCTTCACTTTTTTCTTATTTTCTTCATGATTTTTAGTAATGAATCTTAATTGTGGAGCCAAAAGTCAAAATTTGAGTCAATTTCAGTTTTTACTCAAAAAATTTGGCTATTTTTTCCCAGTCTTCTGAAGGGCAGTGCAGACTATAAATGGAATTATTTTGTGAATTTGTGCTGAAAAGAGGGAACTGGTGGTGAAAAGGTTAAATGCTCTTAGATGTGAAAATTTTATGATTATACATTTTGGTTAATGAACCAATTGTTGAAACGTATTGAAAATTATAATTCAGAAATACACTTTTTGATATTACCCATGCCTGGCACGCACTTGGTGTTGTGATATTTCCTAGCATTTAAAAGCTGTTATGTGTAATCTTATAATTGTGTATGGAAGTGTCTCTGAAATCTCAAACACTATGTATTACTTGACATTTAACATTGATTTGTTTTCATGTATGCATGAAGACACATGTTGCTGAAGTTGGTTCCATATTCAGATTGAAGCTTGGATTCATATTCATTATTGGGTTCGGATTCTTGAAAGTATTTTTTAAACAATGTACCATTAGTTTAATGTTCTTGTACAACTTTTTGTCACATGATCCATTGTTTTATACTAATACTAATATGCAGAGCGTAAACCAGCATTTTATTAGCTACAGACTACTGTACTACTGCTACCCCCGTTGTAAATCAGACGTGGCTTCTTGGCTAATACAATGATAGTGAATAATTTAATTCACCAGAAATGAAATTGTTGTTACAACTTACAGAACTTGAAATTACTGGTGAGCACCATGTAAGTAGTTTCCTGAAACTAATCTTGTCCTTGGTCCTATGTCCATGGCACATTACTATAAACAAAACTAAATATCTCAAATTTGATAACTACCGGAAACTGTGCCATGCATGGCTGGTTTGTCTCTAAGAAAACACCAAAAAGTGTCGAGCTTAACAAGTTTTTTCTAATGTTTTAAAAGACTTGTGTTGTAAAGCATATACACTGTAACAGAAAAAAAAACAAAAAGAAAACAATGTTATCTGTGACATGAAATGATAAACTAGTTTATTCCCACCCAAATCTGAATCTGAGGCCAACTTCAACATCATTGTAGGCACAGTAATAAGTTATATTAAGGTTACCGGGGTATATTATATATTATCTTTAGAAATATTTCATAATTGCATTTCGTAAAAAAATTAAGTCCTTACTAAGAAATCTAATAAATTATGCTAACTTGTTTGATGTATTTTAATAATCGCCTCTTCTATCTGTTGCCTAGCATTCACAGGGATATCATGACCCTTTAAAATAAATTTCCCCTGCAGTTCATAAGTATAGTATAGTGTTTCAGTTGGTTGTCTTAAGTCAATAATGCACATAAGTGTGGCATTTACGAGCTGATGTGTTGTTTGAATCGCCTGAGGCTACTTGCTGCATTGGTTTGTGTTTTAAAAATGCTTTCCCTTGGTATTACAGTTTTATCATGTGCATAGTCTTTTTATAAGATCAACGAACTATCTTATCTTTTTTACCCGAACTCTGTTAAGTAGTTGAAAATAGATGACAGTACCCTTTCTGCCTCTGCTACCTAGCTCTATCGCCCACTGCTTTTTGCCCTATGTTATCATGGCCAGGAGATGTCCAATAATTCTGTCGATGTACTTCTCACAATTTTTAAATTGATGATGAATGAAACTGATCTGAGTAAATATTACTTGTTTTTTTGACTCCAGTGTCTAAGGACACAAGGATAGTCTTTGTAGTTACCCTGTTAGTATGTATACGTGTGTGCGTCATTGTATATGTGTTTGGTCCACTGAGATCTCAAGAACCACTTGTCTGATTTCAATGAAACTTGGTACGTAGATGCCTGTTTTTTGTTTGAAATACATGAATATTAATTGCCTCATTTGCATAATAATTACCAACTCTCTTAAGTAGGCTTCTTTGCTATAAACATTAAGATTTGTGATTGACTCAGTGGGGCAAAGACTTGACAGTGTTCATTTTCCAAAACGATATCTACTGCACAAGATCATGAATGTACAGACCCAGACCCTCCGCCTGTTAATCCTATGCATATAACTGTATGTTATCTTTGGAGAAGTGATGTCAGATGGAGTGACACGTAGGGTACTGGAAATCTGTTTCAAACTTGGTGCAAAAAAGATTGTTTGGTGGCATATTTTGATTTGATGCATTGAAAAAAAAGTTTGCAAGGTCATCCGATTCACTAGAAGAGTAGATGAGCTTTATAATGCGTCAATCTATTAAATCTGATTTATTTGGCAAATGCCATACTAGATGAAGCAATGCAGCTTATTTCTAGCAAGATCAATTGATAAGCTATTTAATGCTTATTATATCTGTTTAATTGGACTCTGCACATTAGCAGCATTACAAGAGCCTCACCCTCCAATAGAATAGTGAAGGCATACAATCCTGTATACCACGAGTACAAAAAAACCGCATTAATTTAATCTTCACTTCAATGCACTCTTTTTTTTATAATATTTATAATTGTTAAATCGCTTGTGGTGTACAGTTGGATGACGTGTGCTTGTCCTTCACTAGCCGAACTGTGAATCTACGCTTATAGCATCTGACTGATGTTGCTAACCAAAGTTACTTCAAAAAAAGTTTTGGTATCTAAGAGTCTCAATATTAGAAACGATATGGAGAAGGGAAGTGTGTGATTTTAAACAGTTTCCTGTTTACACCGGATTTGGTTGTGACAACACGTAATATTGGTACTTAAGGTTATCAGCTTCTCCTAAATCTTGCAATCGTCTACATTGTGTAAGTGCCTGCCTGGTCTGCCTCCTATGGCTTCAATGGTCATGGATCTTGTTGTTATGTACATATATATGCAAGTGTAAAATTTGTATTTTCTGGGTTAGTTTAGCTAAATTAAAATCTTGTGAAGTTGAAGATCAGTTTGAAAAATATATGTGAGCAATTCCTACTTTAATATTTGAGTACCAAATCAATTTTTTTTTACCTTTCACAAAATAAAACCAAGAATTTTTGTTCATACTTTTTCCAAAATTGTGATCAAGAACAGTAGGAAATAATGTACATTTGGTCAAAATTAACGAAGAAATTCTAGAAAATACATAAGAATGAGCATCAATTTACAAATAAAATTTTGGCTGGAACAATTCTGGCACTCAATTGGGGTTAATATATGGAGCCACAGATGCATTGATACTGTCCTTCTTGATGGGTCTGTGATTGCTACTGTTACGGTGCTCTGAATCACCAATAGAGGCATTTCCATAGATAAAATAATGTTTAAATTTGTGTGCAACTTTCTTTTGTCTCTGACAACTAGAAGTTGTGCACATTGCATGTGAGATGCATCATGGGAGTACCGCCATGTTGTCAGGCTTCATTAATATAATCGCTATAGGTTGAGATTCATATATAAATTTGTTTAAGAGTGCATTCACCTACACGCATGAGCTAGCATCAGTATAGCATTGTTTGCTTCTCAAAACAAGCGAATTCAAAGCCCAGGGCATCTTAAATAACATATTGTAGTCTGTCCTTCTCTGGTCATGCTTTCACAAGTGCGTTTAATTGTCCAAAGTAATTACTGCTATGACAAAACTCAATCATCAAACTACTACATTTGCGTGGTCATTATATGGTTATACAACAGATTGTAAGGTTTATATTATTATATTACCGTGTTCATATGCATATAGTGTGTTGATGTTCCGAAAAGAATGGAACACATGTAGCAAGGTGTTGTATTACAATGCGCATTTGGTGGTGTGCAAAAGGAGTGAGGTAAAAAAACAAAAACAATACTGGTAGGATGCATGTACTAAGGTGTCAAATTACAATGTGGATTTGCTGGTGTGCAATATGAATGTGATGAAAATCTATATTACAAATATTCAGCAATACAGATGATATTTTATATCCGCTTGCATTTGTACAAAATAGTTTATACATATTTGATAATGTTCTGTCCAGAGGTAACCATACATGTAAATGCAACATCCTAGATAATATTGATGAGCATCCATCAGTGTCACGTTTCTCTTTAGAATTTAGTAAATTGCAGCACAACTCTTTGCAGTAAAGTAATGTAAACATTCAACTCCAAGCATATTTTATACAGTATTGAACTGTTGACTCTCGCACTGGATTTGAACTTCACACATTTTTCTGAAACAGAAAATTCATCAAAAAAAACAAACAAACATGTTGTATGGTTAAAGACCTGTGTAAACACAGACAAGTTTGTGTTCCACTTAGTTACAGCTACTGTTTGTTTTGAAATGGTGTGCACTTTGGGGCTGGACCCATTCTGTCAGTTTTCCTGAGTTGTATGTATAAATGAAATGAAGGGGGGATGTGATGAATACTAAACTTTAGACAGTGTTCTTTGGGAATGTACGTGGGTTGTTAAGGCAATAATGTATTTATCCTGGAACCATGCTGCTTGTTAAACTACCAATCCTCAAATATTGATATATTTTAGAATTAGGAATAGGATAATATTGGGAGTCAAGTTAATGAATAATTCATTTATGAAAGTCTGCTGTACTGTACTTGAATTACAAAAATTACGGACTTTATGAAGCCATGGATGACTTTTTCATTAAGCGTTCATGACCATCTCGCTGTGTTTCACTGAATTCGATTTTATCATGAAAGTGTTAAAAGTACAAGACATCAGTGTTTGACGGTTGTCTGAAACAATACAGCACAAAACATTATTGTTTACATGTGACCTTGTTACATGTGTGTCTCAGAGAACTCTGAGAATGCCATATTTCTGGAAATTCTAAGAAGCACTCGTTAATCCATATCTTTTCTTGTTTGTCATTTCAGAGGGTGTTCCACAAGTACACTACTTTGGTCCCTGTGGTAAATATAATGCAATGGTTTTAGAATTACTGGGTCCTAGCTTGGAAGATCTATTTGATTTATGTGATAGGACATTCACGTTGAAAACAGTACTCATGATAGCCATACAACTTGTAAGTAACTTTATGTTATCTACATCTGGTTGATCTTGAACAACATGGTTAATAGCTTTGCAACAGAGTTTTAAAAATGCACACAACTGCATAGGGATTTGTGACATAGACGTGGTTAGAGATCCGTACTCTACCTAGATGGTACAAAAGTTAGACCCACAGCTACTAAAATCTATTCTTGGTCTCAGCTAATGTTCTTTTGATGCGTTGATTTATTCTGTGTTTATATTCTGATCAATGTATTTGAGACATTGATAACCTGAAGCCAACAGGAACCATTATGCATGTAATAAAGAAAAAAAAAAGAAAAATGATATCATCTCTGCAGATTAGAAGGCACAGACTTATGTCTGATTACAGGACTCTTAGGCATTTGTTGCCACTGAAGTGATTTGTCTTTCAGTGATTGTGGTACAACAGTAGTCGTTCTTTCCCTGTATCAGTTAGCTAGTGAACTTACTGACTTCTTAGCTTGAATAATTATATGCTACTTACAGGCCAAAACACGTATGAAATCATGCTATTAAGATCTCCAGTGCGCATCACTTCACCCACTCTTTCCAATAGCTCCTTGACATGTCACAAATCGATATTAACTCTTCTTTAACAATAAAATGTCCGCAGGCACTAATAATGTCGGCTATTCCAACCCACAGATTACTAGGATTGAATATGTTCACAGCAAGCATCTTATATACAGAGACGTCAAGCCAGAGAATTTCCTGATTGGTCGGCAGTCAACAAAGTCGCAGCATATAATAGATATAATAGATTTTGGTTTAGCTAAAGAATACATAGATCCGGAGACGAATAAGCATATACCTTACAGGGAACATAAAAGTCTTACGGGCACAGCGAGATATATGTCAATCAACACACATTTAGGAAAAGGTATGTCTCCTGTCAGTGATTCTGCCTTATATATGTGACCTGCTTAGAAGAATTATGTCATAGGCAAGGGATGCCTTATCATGTATGGATTAGGACTTAGTGAATCATGCTTTGGAAACTGTTGATACTTCCTGTCTAACACTTCTATTTTCAAGCCAGAGGCAGGCATCATATGCTCCTGTTTACTTATGTTTTTTTAAGCCTTAAACTGAGTTTGATGTTTGGAATGCTAGATGCAGCTGCTGATAATAAAAATATAGTAGGTCTTCTGATTGAGTTTCTTGGCAGTTGATACCTGATTAGAAGTGTTATCTAGTTTCACCCTGTGTAGACCTCTGAATAATATTGCATCTGCATTTTACGTATGCAATAAAAGATGGTAGCTTTATACATTATGCATTTATATATATTGCAGATATGGACTATTAATGTTGTCATTCATTCTCTTGCTAAGGTCAAATAAATGTTAACGAGAAGTGTGGTGTTTGTAGGGTGTGTTAAAATGAACCCATGATTTGCCTAAATGATTGAATGATCAATCTGTTATTAGAAAAAAAAACGAAGCCAATAATATAGTCATCGTTAATGGATCTGACAGATTTTTTTTTTCACCTTGATCCTTTGTCCGTGCTGTAGTTCATGAACAAACTTCATGTGATTGGATTAATTAGCGTTTCTTTCATATAGAAGCTTTTTCCAATCACTGATATACCTCGCATAATGCATGAAAGGCGAGAGCCGAACGTATGCCACACAAATTGAAGGATTTAATTTTGAACTTGTTGAAATGCCGATTTGTTGAATCCCAAGCACCTTTGTTTGTCCTGTTTTTACATTCGATTTTATGCATAATACAGGATCTCGCAGTGAAAGGAAAATGATCTATTGATATCAATAATATTATCAGTGGCATATTTGACTGCTCATGTTAATTCATTTGTTTATATTTACAGTGTTTTTTTTCTGGTAAAATTGTAAATTATTGTATCATCTTCAGAATACATGGGTGTAGATTGAAAATGAGAAAATATTGATTGTTGTAGCACTCTTACGGTCTTTAGATTGGTTTCATATTTATTTTTCTCATTTTTGCAGAACAAAGTAGGCGAGATGATTTAGAAGCTCTAGGCCATATGTTTATGTACTTTTTACGAGGAAGTTTGCCGTGGCAGGGTCTAAAGGTAATTTTGTCATCTCATTTTATCGTTGTCATAAAATCAAATTGTTATAAATTTAAGTCAATGACTATTTGTTTTATCCCAGCTCTGGAACTATTGTTGGATTTTGATGCTGAAATTGGCAACTTATTTGTAGAAAAATAATTTTACTATTTCATTGTGGATAAGAATAATACAACTAATAACATCCAATTACACAATATTATTATTTGGTTTGGCTTGACTTATTGTAACAGGAATATGCACCATATTATTTTTTTAAAAAGACTGTTTTAGTTTTTAATCGCCGTTATCAATTAACTGAGGATACAATTGTCAATTGATTATTGGAGATTGGTGTATATTTTTTTTTGTATCTACTTATAAATCCACTTAGATGATGCATGTGTACTGTTGTGTTGTGTTGTCATAGTAACTCTTACTGTTATTCTCTAGGCTGACACTTTGAAGGAGCGTTACCAGAAAATAGGCGATACAAAGAGGGCGACTCCCATTGAAGTATTGTGTGATAATTACCCAGGTACTGTCTCAAGATAACTGCTAAAGAATACTCTTTACTGAAATGATATGCAAATCAACTTGGTGTTGGAATAAAGTTAAATTCAATAAAACCATAATTAGATAATTAGGTAGGATAATGTTGATGAAAATTAACAAACCTTTAGAATCAAAAACTTGAAGCGATATCTTGTCTGTATGGTCAAGCGAAAAGATGGTGTAATTTAGTGAAAACTTTACAAAATATGAAAATATTTATACTAAATTTTGAGAGGGGAAAAATTGACCAAAGCTTAAAAATGAAATAAAGGTATACCTGTGTAAATTCTGCAAATCATTTTTATTTTTGCATGGTAGGAAATTATTAATGGCTTCAATGTACATTCACGGTCATTATTTGCATTTTATTGCATGTCTTGAACTAAACACATTTTGCTGTCCAGTGAAGCATGTCCATTTGTACAGACAGTTACACAGGGAACACTTGTCTTGCAAATTGACGACTGGATTTTGTTAACCAGTGGTGTCTGTTATTGTTTTGAAAAGTAAAAATTCATGTATATCGACAAATGATCTTTTGTGATTCAGCCAGTAACATAACCCTGCAACTCAACTTAATATGTGTGATGTGGCACGCTTTGCATTATTTCGTTAAGTCCACCATTTTGAATGGGTGCTGTTTCCTTGTAAGGTACAGTATAGTCATTGCATCCATCAATTTGGACTTTGCACTGCTACGATATTCTGGACTATGGGTTGCCCCTCAATTATATTTTTTCCATATCACAACCTGCAACCTCTTACGAAAGTCATAAATAAAAAATTCTGTCTTGTTAAGTCTTGTTAAAAATACACCCAGAACAATTGAACATGCTTGTACTAATTATTGATAGCACTATTCAGACTGCTTGGTTAGCTATTCATAACATTTCTAATATTGTTTCACACTTCAATAATTTAGCTGCGAAACAACTGTATAGTAATATACAAGTAACATTTGACCTACAAAGCTGATGCGCGAGTTGTGTGTTTCATATACAGGTTGTTTTTTTCTAGAAACAAATTTTAAGAGCAAACACACCTTTGGTATATAACTGATGATAATCTACTGACTGTTCCTGGTTCAGTAAGAGGGCGCTGCACCCCTGTTCCCCTATGAAATGTTTCACCTTTTGTGTACTTACAATTGTACACTGGAAGAAAATTGTTCATTTTGTCTGGTGTTACTGAGGCATTGTATATGCATTTTCATTTTTTTTTTTTCAATTATCTCTACTTCATAATAATTAAATTTTTGCATTAAGGAATTTTAATTTGGATTCCCTTTGTTCATAAGAAACGTGTAGAAAAAAGAAAAAAAAAATCATGTAAGATTTTGCACAATGTCCGTTAGCTACAGGTGTTGATTAGAGTTTAAAATTGTGCAGGTTTGCTGGGGATACCTTTACCTGACAAAAGTTGGTGTTTAAAGCATTATTTCTATGTTTATTAATTCTTTGTGCCATTAACAAATTATGGCTTCATCTACAAAATAATTGTGTACAGTCTGTTCTTCCTCGTATTACATTTTGATAAAAATTGACAAACCTAAAAGCAATATCTGAAGCTGTCTGAATGGTCCAAAATGATGATGAAATTCAGTGTCAATTTTAGAAAATGTGAAAATAGTTTCACTGAATTTTGGGGTGAGAAAAATATCTGGCACTTGAATTGTTAACCTGATATACTTTACTTATTTTTCTTCATCAGAATTGGCTACATATCTTCGTTACGTGAGAAGACTAGATTTCTTTGAAACTCCTGACTATGATTATTTACGGAAGATATTTGTTGATTTAATGGATCGCAAAGGTTGGAAAAATGATTACGAATTTGACTGGACAGGGAAGCAGTTGGTAGGTATTATATCTAATCAGTTGTGATTTCCAGGGGCGCAGGTTATATGCATGATGTTCTGCTTATACCTGAGATATTCCCAGGTTACAGAAAGTAGGACAAATTTAGCATTATTAAATGAGCTGTGTATGTCAGCTCATAACACAGGGACATGTCAGATAAAATCTGCTGCATGGTTTTTAATTACTTTCTCATAGGTGACTATGTTAACATTTGATTGAAATTCAAGAAATATATTTTTAGTCCATATTTGCTCTGTTGTGCATATCCAGTAGAAGCATATATGAAATCAACAGTATACTGGATTATTATATATATCGTCACTTATCTGTGTTACTAATAAAGCGATATTCTCAAAATAGTTTGTATAATCTTCGTAATGAGTTTTCATACTAGTTCAGTAAATGAAGCGAGGTAATGGTACTTTCAATCTCAGTAATTGTAGTAAACTTTATTAAATTCTGGGTATCGTGTTTAGCCACAAGGTCTGTTGTAGATGGTGAAAGCTGAATAACACAGCTTGATTATTTTCATATCTAACCAAAGTTTGTCTTCAAACTGATTCAGATTTCATTGCTCACAACTGAATCTCAAAAATAAAAATAATTTTATCCAACCTAACCTGGATTCATTTCAAGAAAATCAGGCATCTTTATAATAATTTGTTGTTGAATTCACCACATCTACATTTAGTAGTTATTGGGGATTATGAATCATTGAAAATTTATCATGGTTCCGAAAGCAGAAATAATATTCAGGCTCCCCGAAATAATGACATGTTCAATGACCGTAATCAGTTTTTTCCTAATACCGCGGTATTGTCTTAGTCTATGCAAAAAAGAATTTCATCTTGTTCCACAGTATGCCCTCTTACAGGGCTGATTTTGTAGGCATCATAAGTCGAAATGGAATCTCCAAATTTCAAGTTGAGTCAGCTTGTTGACTGCTAGGGAGGTTGCTCTTCAAGAAGCTTGAGGCACAAATAAAAATGTTGTGACCCTGTATCATATACGATTTCCTGTTGTGTCAATACATTTTCACAACTAGTTGCATCACATCAAATCTTTGTACGTCAGTGGCGTGCCATGTCGGTTTAAAGGGCATACCATATACCAGGTGAACTGTATGTAACATTAATGTTTCATTTGCAGAATACCCCTGGAGGCTCTTTACATTCCACTGATGGGGGTGGTCTATCATCGCCACAAGGCCAAGGTCTACCAAGGCATCTCAACCATGGCAGGGTAAGTAACAATGCAGTCAGACCATCATGAAATGTGATCTTCTTATTGCTGGTATGATAAATTATTGTATTAGTAGTGCATACGCTTATATAAATGAGTCATATTTTAATGACCAAACATATATGAAATGTAAGTTTTGGGTTATGTTCGCTTCTATTAGAAATGCACTTGTGATAGAGCAAATATGTTACCTGTTCTGAATGTTGTTGTTGTGCATTGCTTTGTAGACATTCCTTGTTTAGATGATGTCCCATTTGTATCTAAACGTGTTTATGGTTTTATTTCATACATAAATCTAGGATCAAACCATACATGTATATACTCCAAAACCACATAATTTTGGAATTTTGAAATTTCTTGTCAATCAAAGACTCCCCAAGTAATTGTTCTATTTTGTTTAATTTCAATGCTATCAGCTACTATAATATTAAGAGCTACATGACTTGTTGATACGCCTCAAATAGTGTTCCATTTTTTCCTGTCATCGTCACCCTTGAACTATGGTATTTAGAATGACATGATGATGTGGGAGAACAGAACTCTATTTGAGGGATGAAAATAAGTCCTGTGGTTCTCTCATGCTCGATTTGCATCCAAGATCTTTTCACACCCGTAATATATTTTTATTTCTGTGTTTTACTCACAGGATCGAAATAGACATGGTGCATGGCAGGAACAAAATCAAGGTGTAAATCAACACCACTTGAACCCCAATATGACTGCAGCAGATAGACACGGCTCGTGTCAAGTGGTGAACTCTACAAATGGGGAAGTAGCTACAGATGATCCCACAGCTGGGCATTCAAATGCCCCAATTACAGCGCAGGCTGAAGTGGAAGTAGTGGACGAAACAAAGTAAGTATCTGTCTCACCTGTAGATACAGGGTTTGAACTTTATGGAGGCATTTATGACCAATAAGTTTACCTTGGTGTCCTTAGATATTTCCTATTTTACTCCTATAATAATGCCAAGGCTTTTTTTTCAAATTTCATCTTGGAAAATGGGTGCCCTCTTAAGGTCAAACCCTGTAGATAGCATTTTCTAAATAGTGTACATTACCAAGATGTGGTGGGGGTGCTTGTCACTTGTAATATGAATGGGTGACATTGATCATTTCTTCTTCGGACACCCTTAACTCAATTTAAGAAATGTTGACTTTATTTACCTTTTCATGCCCTGCTGTGATTCCCGTTTATAAACAGTTTGGGTCTGACGAATTTTCTCGTAAATGCTTTGAATTTCATTATTTTTTCCGCCAAAGTTTTCATGCATTTTGTACATTTCTATGTATCTTACTTAACCCTTTGAGTACTGGATTTTTCTGTTGGTGTCTGAAGTTGACTTTGGTGCTCAGAAGGTCAATTAATCACGCTTTGCTGAAGAAAGCTTAATGGTATTTTCACTCTGCTTTTCAGCATATTTCTGAAAAAAGCGAAAGTCTTGAGATTGGTTGCATCGTAATTCTTGACACATTACTCTTCTTGTTTTCAGATGTTGCTGTTTCTTCAAGAGGAGGAAAAAGAAAAGCACTGGTCGTCGAAAGTGACTACCTACACAGTACGTGGAACTGGGAAGTTTATTAGCTGGGAAAGCTTCACACTGAGATTAATCTAATGCCATGGTGCTTTGTTCTAGAATGTGAACTTGATTTGTAAAAATAATATATTGTTGTGGAGATGGAATGAGATGTATTAAAAGGAAGAAATAGATTTTGATCAATTGCGAGATATTTACTAAGATTGAACGTCATGAGATATTCATTAATAGGTGGGACCGAATTAAAAGAACTGCCAAATTTTAACCAAAGGATACTTTTTGTGTTTCTGGGGAGTGTATCATTTACAGATGTGGTGAACCTCCTCGGTCAAAGAAACATGGACTTCTCAATGTTTTAATGACGAGAAGGAACTGAACTTGAGCTTGATATTGTCGCAGATAGCACATGTACAGTGACTAGTTTCTCATAAGGACTGGTCAGAATTTCTGAGGATTTCTTATCGTTCTTTATACTGTTCTTTACCAAGCAAAGTGTCTGATATTTTATTTCCTCACTCTGACCAGGCATTGGCTGTAAATACTTGAAAAAAAAAAACTACGGTCAGCATATTTTGCTGCAAGATTTCTGTACATTATATTCTTAAATTTGTTTGTTGTTCAATACTAAGTTTATTTTTATTACGGTGTTTGTGATTGCTCCTCCGTTCAGTGGTTTTCCTAATCCATTTGTTTTCTTGTTTTTTTTTTTAAAACTCATTCAAGAGCTGTGGCCTTTGAGATTGGACAGTTCAAGAGGGTGTCCAATCATGCTGTTGTCTAAGTGCGTCCTTTTATCAAAGTGTAACGGTTAGACATTGTGCAAGTTACTGTAGAATGGAACACTATTTTGTGGTGCGGTAGAACCTGATGTCCAATTTTTCTGTAGACTAGATCACATATTTGAATGAACAAAGCCAGTTTTTTAAATACAAACTCAAAACTTATTCATGCCATTTGTAATCCCATATCAATATCACTTGGGTTTAGCACCTGTAAATTAAGTTTAATAATCTAATTGTTGAATGCATGTAAACTAAAAATTTGTGTAAACTTGACAGTATAGATTTCCAGCCGTGCTGGAAGAAACTCAATTCGTTATTTAACTCCGCCTTTATTTTTAATGTACAGAGTTTTAACTGAGGTGAAAATGAAAAAGCCAAAATATTGAATATGACGATATAACATAACCTGCAACTTCTTTTCTTATTACCAAGGATAATGAAATTTGGAATAAAACTAGTCTGTGCTATACTAGTCTTAAACTTATGTGTGTGATAATTTTGGTTATTCTGGTAACAATGTGCTTGATAAGCAAAATACGAGAATCTGGTATGATTGCACTCCTGCCCAGAGCTCCCCTGTAGTGTTACTACCATTGTTTCTGTGCTGGCTAATATTGTATTCCGGTACATAAATATTTGTTACTTGGAAAAACAACTTAACAGCTTCAGAATTCTCAGGTAATGCTGATACGGAAAAAACTTCTCAACTGTCAACAATTAAATACTGCTATCGGTAAACTGCAACTCTCACTGCCAACCATCCAACTACTAGATTATACACAATTAAATTTCATACGTAGTAGTCTACCACTCTCCCAGTATTCTATCGTCTCGTACACAGCACCTGTGTCACCATGCCAGTCTGCAATAATACAATATCACATTGTTACACCAATTCTTTTTAAATGATCAATTAGTTTTACACTGAATTTGAAGATTAAGCTAGACTTTACATTTACTCACACTAGTCATTGGAACAGTTACCTCTTAAGATAATTTATTTTTTAATGAAGTTTTGTTTTTGCTTTTTTTGGGTGTTCTTTGTATAAATCACAAGAATTATTCCTTCATTCTATTTAGTTGCACTGTAATATGGTATATTTTTTCTAAGCCTTGAAGATCAGAACAATATTTAATAATTTTTAAATGATTATTTATACATAGTACCATATTTACTCTACTCGTCCGACTTAGTACCTTCTGTATTCCGAACATCATGTTTTGTAAGGGGTGGGCATTTATTAGAGCGCCATCCTAAACAACTTATCAAAATGACAATTTTTGATGAACATTTGTCAGTTAAGGGGGGGGGTGTATTACTTCAGGGGAAATAAACATTGTTTTGCATTGTCAATGAAATCCACATTGAGCTAACACTTTTACAATGAAGTAACACAAATGTTCACGAAAAAAATACACACATTTCATTTTTCAAGTGTCATCAGAATTTGTGATATAAAAATGATCAGGGTCTGTGTAAAAACTGTCCCAAGTCATGATTTTTGAAAGATGAAGACTCCAATTTGTTTTTGATATCCACAAACTCTCAATGAAAAGCAATCCCAGCCATGTTTTCCTGGTGATTTATAATTTTTGAAAAATGAACCTGGTGTGGAGAAAGTATTTAGCATTTTTCATGGTTGTCAGCAAGTCCTAGAAATATTGATCACACCCCATTTCTGATAATTAGAATATACACTAAAATTATAGTCTAAAGTAAAACTTATCGGTCAAATTTGGGGAGTTTTGAAAGGGTTGGGTGCAAAGTATAACTTTATTTTGAAAATAACAAATTCCCCAAAAAACGGGGGCTTAGTTGGACGAGTACGGTTATTTGTGCATGTGCTTACATAAATGACAGGTATATCTATGGTGAAAATAAGTTTTTTGTTGAATAATTGTACATGTATTGATTTTTGTATGCTTCTATTTAGAGCTAATTACGGTAACAGTAAAACCATGTGTAAACCAATGTGAACAAACTAAAAACCATTTTCGGTCTTTTTCTCTAGACTCGCTTGTAATTTTCAAGCCTCACGAATTTTACTTCATATGCATGTGTGGCTGTCAGTGTGTTACAAATCCTTTCTGCCATCATTTAATTGACATACCGTAATACTGGTAGTTACATTATACCAATTTGACAAACATGAAACTTTGTCAAACTGACATCACATAGCCTATGAATATTGTTCGAGCGACAAGGTGAAAAACCGACAAATGCGTTTCTAGTCAAAGAAAGATTTTGATTTTATTGCACGATTTGGTTCAAACATGTTTTTACTTTTGCCCTCTGTGCAATGGAGTGATTGCTGTTCAAGCACATCGTTTTGTCATCTGTTTAGTTTCTGTGATTTATCTATCTCTAACTGAATGGTACTAAGTTAGTTTTTGTTGCATTCACCAAAAGATTTGTTCTCTATTATACAAATTGCTGCATTCCACCAAGTAAACCTTGCAATATATACCAAGTCCAAATACTATCAACTTTTGAAACTCAAAAAATCAGACAAAAAATGATTTATACAGGTACTGTAGCATTTCCTAATTTATAGAAGGAATCTCGACTGGTCTGAGGTGCGTAGTCAGTCTAAGCACATTCACAAGTTACTTCACAACAGACTTGTATGTGTTATGCTTTAAACGTTCGAATAAGTATGAGCCTTTGTCTAGGTGCTTGCTTTTATTGAGTTTTATTTTTGAGAAATTTACTCAGCCAAGTATTTTTTTGTAGCTTATTGTGTATAAAGCAAGTGTTATGTAAAATAGCTGATGAACATTAATCAGACACTGCATTGTTTTTATTTAATGTGGACTTTGTTGCCATGGTAATGAAAAATCAACTCAATATTGTTTGTATCTCTTTACTTCAATTCACATTAATGCTTGTGTTTTCATTCCGATGATTTCAATTTTTTTTTTCATTCTTATTCAAGAAAACTTAACGGAAGGTGTACCTCTCCGTTAAATGGAGAGAAAAATACCCATGATATTTTACACAAATCATTTTTATTGTAAAAAAAAGTTTTTTTTTTTTTTTTGCATTCTTCATGAAGAAAAGAATATATGATAATTATGATCATGAAATTGCAAACTTGCTTTCTTGAACAAAATTCCTGCCTGATTATTATTATCATTCAGATAAAAATTTATTTTAGCCGTTTTAAGAAGAAAAAAAAGAGAAATAAACGAAAGATTTGTCTGGCAGATTCTTCCAGAAGCTGGTCTTTGATGGTAACCCCTTCCTCCAAAATCATTTGTCGAACTCAAGCTCTTTCTCAGTCTTGCTGAAAAAGACATTCAAGCTCGGACTGTGCTTTTGTCTTTTCATAAACAAGTAGGAATTTAATGTTAGGAACTGGTGATTTTTTTTTTTAATTTTGGGTTTTCAGTGGTCCTATTGCTCCATGGATATCCGGACTGAATATCCAGCTGAGTAGAGATTTGGGTTCTGACTAACGTAAAAATAGTACTGACAATGTATAATACGGTAGTTGCAATTGGGATATGGATGTTGGTGTCTGAACCTCTAATTTTGTCGGCAAATGTTACGCACCAGTACTGCTTTAGGAGAATATGTTACCAATGAATAATACAGCACTTTCTGTAATATGTTCTTGTAATGGCATTTATAGTCAAGTGATTTCAGTCCACGCCCTTTCATAAAATACTTCTAATTTCTAACAGCTTCTGAATTTAGACTCGGCTAGGTGGTTTATGTGTCATCCTGTATCTGTGATGAGGGGTATCATATACATGTCCTTCTCTGAAACCATTGTACTGCTGTCTTTGGTTTCCTCAAGTTCTGCACAATTTGGTGTCGAAATTAAAAACTATTCTGACTGCAGCCTCAACTGGAACAACTGCATATCAGAATGGTCAATTTAGTACAAGGGTTTATTGATGAAACCCCAAACTATATAAAATGTTTCTGAAACTGTACATTGAGTTAAATATTTCATGAACAATTGTGCATCTTGAGATAATGTGGGAACACTGAAATTGTTGTTTCAGATAAGATGATCTAGAGGTAGCACAAGTGGTTATAGATTTTTTTTGTGATGAATACAACTATGGAATTGTCAACTGCTCTCAACATATTTACATATTTTATTTTTCTTTCTGCAAATTTGTGTCCATTGTTAACTCTTGTGCCACTGGGAATCAAAATAGTGTAATATTGATTTTGAGTTTCCTTGTGAGAATGTTTGTCTTTTTCCATGTTTAGTGTTGTTTGTGTGCAATAAAGATAACTATGTCAAGTACTTCTAGGACAAATATTGCCCGACAAGCAGAGTTCCAAAGGGGAAAAGGAAAATGTACCTGCATTTCAGTTAGTATGCGACAAGTTTTTAGGTTTAATGATTGGAAATGTTACAAACTACAATTCTAAACACCATGGTTGTCGCTTGTTTTATATACATAAACTACTGTAAAATACTTTATTTTCATTTGGAATTAATTTTCGCTGAAGAAATGATTCAGTGAAAATATAAATCCAGCCAATTTATTTTTTTTTCCTATATTTTACATTCAACTTTTCAAAAATCAGTGAAAATAAATTCCATACAAAACACCCCAAAAGTCTTTTCAGTGAAAATTAATTCCTAATAAAATAAAGTATTTTACAGTACATTGTTTACATGAAATTTTAATATGTGCTGTGTGATGAGACTCCCATTTTGAGATAGCCATTGTTCATCTTGTTGCATAAGCAAATTTTTAAAAAACATAAGCTCATTTGCATAATGGAATCAGCACTAAATATGGAAATTTATGCAATTACACTATTTTCCAGTGTGAACTGCATGACCTTTTTGTTCCCAAGATTGTTGGGGGAGGGGGGGAATGTTGGTGTACAGCCTTGCTTAGTAGTTTCCTTAAAGGATTTGTGAAGCTGCAAGAATTTTACAGGCACAAAAAAAGGCATACATTTGTGTCCAAAAAAAAAGATGTGTAGATAGAAAATGTTCAAATAAATTACAGAAATGTGCATTCATAAATTGTTGTGGTCATTGACTCTTAATCATTCACTGCGTGTAAAGGTGAAGTATGTACAGTTATGTTGCATCACTGATGCGCTGAAAATTAGCTGACCCCACTTCACATGTTGCCTAGTATGCATAGTACTGCCCAGTATGCAGACATGTCATTGATGCAACAGTAAATTGTACATTGATCTTTAAAAAAAAAAAAATCTAGTTTCAGAACATTTTAGTTTGCATAGGTCACTCAAGCCAGTTGTTATTGAAGACCTCTTTCCAACAGTCAAGCCCACTTGATTTTGGAGACATTGAACAGTTGTGTCGGGGCTGGAGGTTATTGAACTTCACCACATCCACTATCCAATGGCATTCTCTATCAACAGTCATTGCAAAAACCCTTTAGCGAGGACGTTATTTTGTCACAGCATATCTCGTACATTCACAGAATTGACGTTTGACTATGGAGGAAGCTGCAGAACCTGGAAAAAAAATGGTTTCAGCAAGAATTGCCTGGTGGTTCAGCCACTGCAGTATTGTAAAATGGTGCAATTTAAGGTTTCGCTAGTCAACCTACAAACCAGCCAAGATATAACCCATTTGAAAACCAATGCTAGAACAGATTGAAATATTCTCAATGATTACAAGGGCAGCCCTTGGGGAAATTTTGCTCAGCTCACCACCATACAAGTCCACATAAATGCAGGTTCAGTGCGCACTCGGGCAACAATTTTATTAACTAGCAACTAATTTTAACCCTGCTCATGCTGGACTAGTAGCAATTTTGTTTTGTACAATTGCCATTAAATAATTCATAGAATTGAGCAGCCACATTAGGCAAACTTTTTTTTTATAGAAATTACCATATTAAACAGACCAATACACAACTTTGATACAGCATAGAGGTAGAGGGTCTATGGATACACCAACACTGAAAGTACAATTTTCTAAATAAAGCTTTATTTTCTTGTACAAAAAATTCATCTACATACAAAAAAACTAATGAATACAGACAACCAGACTTGAATGCCTTATATTGTACTGTGGGCATCAATGCTGTAATTATTAACTTTGGTTCCTTGCTCACAGCTTTAGAAAACTTAAAATACTAGTTTAGTACATAGAAATTCAGATTACCGGTATTCCAAGATACATTTAAAATACGAGATGTTGGCAGTGTTTAGATAATGTAAAAAAAATGACTGTAGAGGGGAGTATACTGTATACAATACTGAAGTTATCCATGCAAATAAACTGAATAAAACAAGTCATTGTCAATGACATGTCCCCGTTCCGTTCATATTTGAGTGACATATACATTCAAAGCAGATCATGACCGAAATGCACCTGCATATGTACAACACATTGTGCTAAATCTGAACAAAATCCATCCATGCATGACT